AGAGAGAGAGAGAGAGAGAGAGAGAGAGAGAGAGAGAGAGAGAGAGAGAGAGAGATTGCCACGCTGTCCGTTATGTGATTCTGACACCTGCTGCTTGGTTTGGTGTTGGCTTTTGTCTTTCAGGAGATGCTCCAAGATGCACGCCCAGCATTACGGCTCACATGACAAGGCCCCTTCTGCCAAGAGGAACTACCAAGCAGATTGGATGCTGATTACTTTCGTTACAAGACCCGCTTAACATTAGTGGCACTCTGAGTCTGTTTGCTTTGCTGTGTTTTCTGATGCAGGCGACTTCCAACAGGCCAACTGTCCATCACACAATTTGGGCCCACTAAACTGAGCCTCACCCACACAGAAACATGCACTTGCACACACAGACAGAGTTCAAAACTTCAACCACCAGTTCCCCAGGGGGTCTTAGCCCCCCCTCTGGGGAGCCTCTGATGCAAAAAATGCATATGAACCCCCGCTGCGCACCGATTCAGCCACCGCATCAACGGCCTAAAAACGTCCAGGTACTGGTGGTTTAACAAGTAAGCACATACGTGCAAGATCGGTTCATCACTAAGATATTCAGAAAACACAGCAAGAAAACAAACTCAGGATCGGAAAAAATTCAAAAAATCTTTAGCCAAAAGATCGAAGGGAACTAACGGGACAGCATATTTTTCTCAGAAAAATTCAGACTTCTCAGACTGCAACTTTTTTTTGTGGGTCATTATTACACAGCGCAAAACAAAAAAAACGATGCTGAGAAGGTAACGGCTTCCCAAGCAAAAGACTCACAGTAAAAACGAAAAAAACGACAAAAAAAAGGGGTTCGGCGATATTCCCTCCTGTGTTTTTTTGCAAGCGGGTGTTTCTGTCTGCTGTCAGGTTCCCTCCTTTATCTTATTGTGAAAGAAGGGGCAAATGATAGGACAGTTCATTGTGCTTTTGCGTTCTTTTGTGTTTTTTTTCTTTTCTTTTTTTTTTGCGGGTGAAGCCACAACAGGTCATCTAATGTGATATGTATGTGCTTTAGGGAACATCGTGTATTCAGTTCTTAATAACTTTTTATATATTCGGACCAATAATGAAAAAGTTGGCATGTCGCTGAAATCGTTGAACGCTAAGTAGCAAAACCCTATAATAATCCAGGCACCCTTGATTTATTCGGATCTGCAGGCCGGATAATGATACCCGGATGAAACCGGGTTAAGCATATCCGGGGGTTTAAACAAAATAAAAGAAGGGTATTTTTTCAAAAAAAAAGAAAAAAAACGTCGGAAAATCGAAAAAAAAAGCGTGTTGTAGATTATAATAATGCCAACAACTTTTGGCTGGAGGTCATTTCAAAATTCTTACCAGATTTGGAGATCTAAAAATAAATAAACGAATAAAAAATTGGAGAAATCCGGATAAACCTGTTAGCCCAGTTGTCCGGTCCGGATGATCCGGACATTGGATCTGGTCGGAAATGCCGTCCTAACTTGAACGCTTAGTGTTTTCGTGTTAGGTTTTTATAGCTTTTTTTTTTTTTTTTGGTACTAGGGTTTTACAGTGTTTTAGTGTTTTTCCGTTTTATAGTTTTTTTTTGTGTTTGTTTTATGAGCCCACATTGTTTGTTTTCAAAGTTTTCCACTATGTTGCTTGTGGTGATGCGGCGGCGACAATGGTGAGGTTTGGGTCCTCTATTAACCACTTGTCCTTGCGTTCTCTCTCGCTCCTGCTTCCCTCCCCCCCTCTCTCTCTCTCTCTGTGCATATGTTCTGGTGCAGGATTCGATTTGCAACAGGAGAAGGAAGTGTACTTTTGCTGGTGTGCTTCATCACTTCTGCTGGCATGGACCTGATGCGGAGTGTGAATAACAAACTGATACGGCTGAATTGTCCGTATGCCTCCATGCCATACGAGTCTATGCTTTATGCTGGTGATGGTCGGTATAAGCTCTTGGAATGGCTCTTTAACAGGTGTGCATGTGCAACGCCGTCGTCCCTTTGTCTTCTATGTCCTTCTTCTCTCTCCATTTGCTTGTTGCCATCAGCGATTCTCTCTCTCTCTCTCTCTCTCTCTCTGTGGGCATGCTCACAGTAGGACTTTTACTAAGCTCTGGACGTGATTGCGGTCAGATTCATCCAGGTCTGGCCGTGATTTTAGTCAGATACGTTTAGTCAAGTGCTATTTTGAGTATGCCCTCTCTCTCTCTCTCTCTCTCTCTCTCTCTCTCTCTCTCTCCCTCTCTCTCCATCTGAGTCTCTGATGTCAAGATGCAGTCTCTGATGTCAAGATGCACAACCCCCCCCTTAAAGCTACCGGAACCTATAAAGGGGTATGTGCAGTCATTTGAAAATAAAAAGAAAGAAAGACACATGGGTCATGGAAATGCCGAGATGTGCCTACACCAACATAGCAGCTATTTGCTCGGAGGGGAAGGGGATTCTTTTTTTGTAACTTATGTCAAGCTATATCAACGTCTATGAACTTGTTTTTTTTTTTTCCCCCTTTTTTTGGAACTTGGTTCCGGATGTGAAAGCCAAGCCAATCGAAGCGAAAAGCAACGACTTTGGAAACGGCAAAAACAATAGTACAAAAAGTCATATGCGATTTTTTTTCTTGTTTTTTTTCTTGTTCTTTATGTTGAAGGCCAGGGAAGGGAATCACCTTCCCGACTTAAGGTAGTCCCGACTTACGTAGTCCCAACGTACATGCGTGCAATATTAAGAAGGCGAAAAAAAAAAGAAAAAGTGAGAGATTCATCTGATTCAAATTATTAGGTAGTCCCAGTCTCGGACCGGTACTACCCTAAGTCCCAGCCAGGACTACCCAGGTCCCAGACCGGGACCACCTATGTGTGCTGGAGAGATTGCCTCTAATTTACAAATGCGTCTTTGATCTTGCTGGTTTTCTCCTCCTCCTCCTCCTCCTCCCCCAGCCTACC